GACTCCATGGCTTTAAATGTTTGAGAACATCTTGGGAATTGTGGTTCCCTTCCCAGATCATGCTAGGAAGTATGGTCCTCCCTAGGCCTTATACACCCTGTAGTTGCCCCAATTGGGCATTAATCCTTTGCCGTTCTATTTTTCCCATCTGCTGTAAAAATGTCCTGGTTTCTCTTTCATCCTTCCTCCTTGGTCCTCAGCTTGCTCCAATTACTGCAAAGAAAATATTTGCACTCTGCAGGACAAGAAAACAGTTGGCTCAGTCCAAAACAGACTGCAGAAACCTCCCCTAACGTGTTGGCTCTTCCATATGAATACCTATTTGTTGTCACTGTGACGTGACTCCCATATCCATGTTTGCACCTGTAAAATGTCAGCAGGTCTTGGCTTGTAGATCTCTCGCCTTGACCAATGCTTCTGTCCTTCCTTCCCCAACAGCGGCTTCTTTTACTCCATCTTCCTGGGCCAAGGGGGCCACCAAGTGAGCGTCTTGACCCTCCCCAGCTCCATTGAACCGGCCGGATTCCAGGCCATCCTGGACTTCATGTACACGTCTCGCCTGCTGCTCACCCCGGGCACCGTGCCGGCCGTCCTGGCTGCCGCGTCCTACTTGCAGATGGAACATGTGGCCGAAAGCTGCCATCGCTTCATCCAAGCCAGGTATGGGCATCAGGGTTTAGGATGTTTAGGATCTTTGTTGGTGTGTGCACTTGTGCTGTTTTCAATTTACGCCAACCCCAAGGCAACCCAATGGGTTTTTATGGTCAAATGGACATTCAGACTCTAGTATCCAACACTCAAACAAATATACCACGTTACCTCCCTGAACCACCAACTGATATATGTAACTATCATGAGATGCGGGTTTTGTTTTTATTGCAATACCATCCAAAATCCCCTTCCAAAATTCCTCCGAATCTTAGAGTTGTAATCCCCCAGTCAAAAGTTGTTGTTGATAATGATGATGTTTTGTCAATATTACCCAAAATATTATTCCAAGTGAGCTGAATCTCGGAGTTGCAATCCTTTAGTCCAGTGTGTCT